AAACAAAAGAATGGCCCAGCCTGCTTTTTTGGGCAGCCCGGGCCCTTTTGTGCTTAATTTTGGCTAAAGTATGCATTTAGCCTCTTACTTTCTTAGGTTTAAAACTGTTAGCCCCTCACTCTATATAATAAAGTTTTAACCCTTAAATTTAAAAGTTTGAAGATTTTAACTCCTAAACTAACAAAAGCCGTTAACTTTATGTTAAAGCAAAAATAAAATATTTACAAAATCAGTTTTCAAAAATTAAAAATGTAATAGTTTAGTTATCAAAAATTAAAAAAATTAGTCAATTAAAAAGAATTAACAAATGACTTTCTCATATACATTAAAATAATATTAGATATTTATAATCAAATTGAGTGAATAATTCAATTTAGAAAAAAAAAATTATAATTGAGATTAAAGAAAATTTTTTTAACTAAAATAAAAAGTTGAAGAAACTAGAAGCATACAACCAAAATTTTTTTTTTAATCTTAGTCAGATTTTTTTAAAAATTGAATTAATCACTTGATTTAATTGTAAATATCTAATATTGTTCTTCTTTATATGGCAAAGTCATCCACTAATTATTTTCAATTCAATAATTTTTTTAATTTTTAAACTTTTGAAACTAAATTATTATATTTTTAATTTTTAAGAACTGACTTTGTAAATATTGTATTCTCACTTTAACAAATAGGTAATGGATTTCATTAGTTTAGAGATTAAATTATTAAAACCTTTAAATTCAGAGGCTAAATGCATACTTTAACCCTTAATTTTTGAGGTAGTTGCATTAGGAGGGCAAAGCAAAGAGGAAAAATACAATTTGGCAGTTGGTAGTGAATAATTATTTATTCTTTTTATTTTAAAATATAATTCATTTGAATTTTTTTTATACATAACTTTAAATAATATTTTTTTATAATATATAACTAATAATTAAAATTTTTTATTAAATAAAACTATTCAACAAAAAATATATATACAAAAAATAAAAATTTTAATTATTATTTATATATTATAAAAAAATATAACTTAAAAATGCATATAAAAAAATCAAAATACTTATATTTTGAAAGGAAGAGAGTATTAATTAGTGAAGCTTACTACTTCCAAGGAAGATTGCTATCGTGTGTTTCTAATTTTTATAATGTCAAGTGATTAAACTGTTGATGTACCAAAAACTTGGTGAAATTTGCCATTTTTAATTGGTAATGGCCATGGCCACGGCCACATATAAATTATGGTGTTTGCATTTAATTTGATTAATATTTTACTTATTATATATATATTTTTAAAATTGTTAATTATAATATTTGAAAATATTAGTTTATAAGTTAATTTCAATATGCTAAGTAATAAGTATTAGCTATTCAATTAGTTATTATTTATTTTTAATAATTAAATCAAACAAAACTAATTTTTTTAAAGACAATATTAAAAAATTTGTGTAACCTTAATAAACTTTTGTGTAGCTATAGCCATTTCCCTCCTAATTAGAAAGATTTTTGTCTGAGTTAAACATTGAGATTGGCTCAAATAATCAATGAGTCATTCAAATCACAGTGAAAATATAAATTTGAATTTTTTTTTAATATCATTTGAGTGTAATTTCAATAGATTATGGCCGTTGCCTTTAAAGAGAGAACCTTACTTGATAATTTACAAATATTCTTAAAATTACTAAAAATATATAAAATATTAATTAAATTAATCATTTATCATAAATTTATATTTTAAATAATATGTTATGAAAAAAAATGTTGTGTGTAGCATTTCCGAATGAAGTCTTAGTCTATCAACTATTAATCATTTATTAATTTCACCCACAATATTTTTTTCCCCCCGAAATTGTCCATTTAAAAGTGGTATCAAAATATTCTATCAATCAGGTTAAGTGCCTTTTGGATGAAACCATTAGGAGCACAATTTTGTTGAAAATGAAGAAATGAAAAGAAAAAGGAAAGAAAAGAAAAGTACATGATAAGAACTGAAAGAAGCAACAAAAAGAACTAGTAAATGCATCATCACGGAAGGAGTTCAAGCTGGGGAAGGTGGGAAGGAATGAGAAATATCTATTTGATGTGAAACAATACGATTAGGTGTTCAAGGGGTATTGCGTATTGGCGTGGCATCTAAGTGGCTGAAATCTGCGCAAATTGGCATCATGTTTAGCTTTAGCCCTTTTTATGACCTGGAAAGGAGTAGTACCATATCTTCGAGTTGCAAGTTGTAAAAAATGTTGGATTCAATTTTTCCATGTAAATTTAAGTTTAATGTTCGGAGGGCAATAAAAATCCAATTTAAATTAAAATTTGATTTAATAATAAAAATTGTGATACCATTAATCTCATATCAAAATAAAAATAAAAATATGAATGATATATAATAATACACACTAAAAATAATTAATAATTTAAAGTTATTTTTTTTATTAACTTTTCAATATTCGGTAATCACATTGAATACTGATTAATTCGAAATTGAACTGTGTCGAGTCCCATTTGAAGAAAACTCTTTTAACGTTTATTTCTTTATTCACAAAATTTAAATTTACGATTTTATTTAAGAAAAAACCAAACTTTTTCTAGTTGAGTCAATATAATTGGTAAAGTTAAGTTTTTTAAAACACGGGTAAGGTTGCAATATGAAGTTATGAACAAAGGAGTCAAATTTGGTGACATCCAGACAATCTAGGGTCCTCGGTTTCAGCAAGAGATTAGGGAATTATGTGAAGTGGCCAAGTGGGCCTTCAGTAATGGAGCTCCATTTAAATGTTTTGGTGAGATAGTAACTAACTAGTGATGGAAGAGCACCATTTTCAGCTCAAATTGGATCATTATAATTTATATGAATACTGCCATTTTCAGTTCACCTTGCAATTGCCAATTGGCAGGCATCATCACCGCATTAGGCGCCGAAGCGTTCCGGGGGAAATGGGCAGAATGATATGGCTGTTTCCATCGTGCATTGAACAGGGACAGAGCATATTGAGCGATAAATATTTTTCTTACATATTGAGCAATATCTATTTTTCTTACATATTGAGCGATATATATTTGTAAAAAAAATCTCATCTATCTTATTTTTCAGAATTTAAAGGAAAATTTATCTCAAATTTATATCATTTTAATAAATTTTTTATTAAACAACACTTCAATATTTTATTTTAATGGTGTGAGTTA